ACATTTATGCACTTCTCTCTCTCAAGATCAAATGTCTGCCCTCCTCATAACGTCGTCTCTGTGTATTTCCCCTTGACTTGGCTGACTGCTTTTATGTTTGACAGCTTTTGTATGGGCAGCGGGAAACACAGTTAAGTGTTTTATTTATCTACAGAATGGGGCTTTTTTTTCCGCTTTAGTCAGCTCTTCAGGAAATGAAACACTGGCACGAAACACACTTTCATATTCTGCATACCTACAGTATGCAGCACACCTGGCTGAAGTGGAGGAGGCAGTTGTGTTTGAGTGGATTAGGCTGAAAAGGTTTTGTTTGTGCAATAACAACATACGCTGAGGAATATACAGTATGCACTGCTTTTTTTTGTATTCAAGCTATTTTGCCTCACAGATTTTTTCACCACCACGAGCTATGCCTAAGGCTCTGTTCAACCCAGTGAATTTAGCTTTAGTAGCTAAAAGGCTAAAGCTCTTTCGTCTTGTGAGATTAGTGACAAAATTGCTTTCCTGCGTTAGCTTCTGGGGGAAATACAAAACATTTGGGGATTTTTCAAAGTTAATCTTAAACACCAAAAAGTTTATTTTTGATCAACCCATCCAGCAGGATGAATCAGCAGTATTGTCACTAGAATCATTGCCTATTTTTCCCCTCAATCATGTGTCGGCGCAAATTGTTAGTGATATGACAAAGTAAAACAGTCCGTCTCGCCCTGCCCTGAAATGGCCTGCTGTTTTTTATTAATTGACATAAGACAAAATATTCTGACAGATAAAAACAAAAAAAAAATTACCCTTTACTAGAAACCCACTCATTCCCCAGATACTCACACACACATTGAACAGATGTTTCACTTAATGGGAGAACAACAGGAAGAGAATTCAATTCAATTTGGCCCGGGGTCTGATAGGACATCAAGTGATAGAGGAAAGCGATAGGGTTTCACATCGGAAGCCCATCTGTGTCCGTGCTTCCCTTCAAAAACCCACCTGCCCTGTGATGTTGTTAGGCTGAAATGAGACAAGCACACCCTGATGCATCATAGGCTGTAATCACCTTCTTAACTGAAACCATAAAGGTTCAGAGTTGAGAGCAAGGGCCAAGGATTTGTTTTGCTTAATGGCATTTGGTCCTTGTGTTGCAATTGTGCAGTTTCATTGCATTTAAAGGAGATTATAAGGCTTCTGGGGAGTATTCAGGTGACCTTCAGGTCTAATATGATCAACATGTCAGGGAGGGTTCACGGTGCTTGCCAGAGGCTACAAACCGTTGTGCCTTTGGAAAACCATACCATACAACAGTTAAAAAGAGAAAAATAATTTTTAATTTAATGTCAGCAGCACATCTCAAAGAAGGTAAGATGGAAAAACTGGAAAAGAAAGCGGTGCTAAAAAGAAACAGCTGCAGGAACATTTTGCTTATAATTATATTAATTAAATGCAAAAATAGGCCAGTAACATGATTGGGTTTAAAAACAAAAGCATCTAACAAAGGCAGAGTTTGTCAATGTGCAGATCTTCACCAATCTGCAAACTACAAATTTTGAAAGAGTTACAGAGTATTGTTCCTCAAAGTTTTTAATATCTCATCATGTACAGTACGCAATATCATCAGAAGATTCAGAGAATCTGTAGAAATCTCTGTGCGCAAGGGACAAGCCCAAAAATCAATATAAGGTGGCCGTGATCTTCAGGCCCTGCAGGCAGCACTGCATTAAAAACAGGCATGATGCATGTCTGTGATGGAAACCAGTGCATGGGCTCAGGAACACTTCCAGAAATCACAGATCACTGTGCCATCCACAAATGCAGGTTAAAGCTCTGCATGCAAAAACATATAAGACCTGTGACCATGATCCACTCAGTCAAAACTCGCGTTTCTTTTTGGAAAACATAGGGGGAGGAGAGGGACCGTTCGGCTCTGCATCTCTGATGGTATGTGGGTGCATTACTCTATAAAACGCAGTTTTAACGCAGGTTTGAAAGTCGATGCTTTCCCAGCAGATGAAGTGAAAATGGGACTTTCCCTGTACAGAGATGGTGGTCCAAAGAAAAGAAAATTGGTTGGGGAAATCCCCCAAATTTGATAAAACCATCAATTTTTGCTCATTTTAAAATGTTAGAGGTAATATCAGAAACACCTCTGAACTAAAGACTTGCATCTAACAGCCAAAGCACAAGATTCAATATCCCTACTCTTTCTGACTTGAACCAACAGGTCGATCTGTGAGGATGCAAACCCTGTTGTTATTGGCTTACTCACACTCACAATGTAAGCAAGCTGTTGGAGTCACAGTTTTACCGTAAATGGGGATTTAAATGGGGAGAGGCCCTGCAGCCTCTCCCCATTTAAACGAACAGATGCTGGAGAGAGAAGCAGTCAGCAGCACCAAGTCAGAAGCGACCGACTTTAAAAGCTAAACATTAAAATGAAAAGCAAGCTGGAAACCAGTTTGTTTTGGGCTGTTTAGCCAGCAGCGGGTGCTTGTGGAGCACATGGAGACATATTTCTTTAAGTGCCTTGCTCAAGGCCACTTCAGCAGTAGTTTAAGATCCAGTGGAGAACGTTATGTATTAAAAGTCCCAGCAGGTCTGGGGATTCACGGATTCTCGGAGCTCTAGGCTCATGCTGCCTCAAGACATAGTGGGATAGATGGAGCAAACTGGTGGGTAATGCTGTTCCAATATCTACTTACTTTTTAAATACAGCAATAAAATCATATAGAGCTTTAAACGGTGGAGAGGTAAAAACATACACTTTGATATTAAGGTTGGCAGGCAGACTAGGTGTGGATCCCCATACGTGAGGCGCATTTTATATTCCTTTCCTGAGGCCAGGATCAGTAGTAGAAGCTGACGATTTTAGTTTATAAGGTGACCTGGAAATATACAAAAATGTTGGCAGATCTCTGTGTTTGGACCCAGGACAACGGACAGATGGGACTCTAGCAGAGAAGCCCTTAAGAAAGTCTGCGGATTGCTGTGCGCATTTGTCTCTTTAAATGTTGATCAGGAGAAGAGCGGCTCAAAAAGTGAGACACGCATTCCTGTGAGGTAGAGACTAGACTTAGTCCCTAAGTAGCTTCTCTCATCATTATACTTCCTCCAGCCCTCTCTATGCTCATTTGTAAGTACGGGATGTTTCTCCGGCTGTGGCTTCATCTTTTGTTGCCCCACTGTTTGCCATTCAGTTTATGGAGCCCACACACACACACACACATCCGTGGATCCTTCTCTCTTTTATTATGGGAATTCCAGGCACATGTGAGTGAAGCAGCGAGCCAGCCCAGATACCCCTCCCCCTCTTGCCGGTACCCCTTCATTTTCATGGATTTCTCATGGGGCTAAAGCAGACGAAAAGAGGGGGAGGAAGAGGGGGAGGAGAAGGAGGAGGAGAAGGGAAGCAGAGCTAGGCTAATTCATCAATAACCTTTACCTAATCCCTCCCTTTCCCGTTCTCCTTCTTACTCTCTCACTCTCTCTCTGCCTAGAGGCATTCAAGCAATACATCCATCCCCCACCCCACACACACACACACACACACACACACACACACACACACACACACACACACACACACAGTCCTTATAGACACACTTGCATGCACTCACATAAGAGTCTGCCTGAACAAGTCCAGAGAGAGAGCATGAATCGAGCTGAAGAGTGTTTTTGCTTTCACCTCTGTGTGTGTGTGGTGTAAGTCGAGTCCTCTGAGGGGCTGTGTGTCTTAGCTATGACCCGGAGCTAAAATGGTGATTATAGACTAGAGACTAGGTGTGGCGAGATGGGGCGGCGTCAGAGGCTTTGTCTATAGTTCCGTACAGCCCACCAACCGGGAGGAGGCTCTGCCTATCTATCAGAGTGTGTCCCGGAGCCATGCACAGTCTGAGATTGAAAGAGCTAAGAGCTGCTGTGTGGGGATGAACCACTCTTAAACCAAGACCTAAGCCACAGGGAATTAGACAAGCACAAGTTCAAGAAGCTCGGTGGAACCTTTGTAGCCAGAACATGACCAAGTGAAGAACTGCAGGAGCAGATTGCTGTTTTTATTTTTATTTATTTTTTTATTCTTGAATTCAGGCTTCTTTTGCAACACACATGAAAAAGACTTTCTAAGGAGCTACCAAAAAAGAAGAGAAACTTCTGTGGACTACTTCCAAGTAACACAATTGTTTGAAGAGACTTTTCTGTTGGGGAGTTCTCAAAATATCCTCTTGATTCTGCCTTTTTTCCCCACATTTAAAGGATGAAATCTCAATGATATAACCATTTGGAATATGGGACTTTTAATCTCTGATTTGGACCATGGTAACAGGCAGCTATGTTTCTGTGCTCAGCTCTGGGTGATTTTGATAAGTATGTCCCATTTACTCTCTTTGTTATTTGTGATTTCGACCTAGATTAATTTTGCGGTGGCGTCTTGGGTGTTTTGTCAGGTATTCGCTCATTTCCAGGGACTTGAAGAGTTTTGAGTTTGGCTTGTTCACAGGTGTCGCTTCAGATTAATTGAATCCAAACACTGGTGCAACATGTTTTGCCCGAGACAAAGATCACACGGGGTGCAGCTTCTTAATGTCGACATGTTTCAGTGTATAACCTTTGCTCCGGATGCTTGACAGCAACCAGTTATCATCTGATTAGTGTGTTTTGACCTCCTCCCCTTTTGCCCCCTCAGCTGACTCAGTAGACCACATTTGTGTCTCTTCCTAATTATACCATATATTCATTGAGACACACACACACACACACACACACACACACACACACACACACTCACCATATCTTCCCTTTTTCTGGTGTTTTCTTTCACTTACAGTTCATGAGTTTTACCTGTTTCACTTTGTTTGAAAGTAACTTTTAAATATTCTCTTTTTTGCTTGCTTGTGAAAGCACTTTGTACACTGTGATTTCGAAGGTGTTTTATAAATAATGTGCATTATTATTATTATAAAAATGGAAGCTGCATTTAAAAGTTAAATCTTTCCTTTCTCCTTTCTTTCTTGCAGCTCTTGCAGGTAAAATCTCTCCAACCAGCTCTGATGCCCTGAGTTCGTCAGCAATGACAGCCAGTCCTTCACCACCCAGCGTGTACCTTCCTGCCAACTTCAAAATGTCCAATGCACAACTGGCCTTCTTTTTGAGGGAGGCTCAGATCACAGGACAAACATTTGGCGGCAGCACCAAGAGCGGCAGTAGTCCCAGCAGTGGAAACCCATTGCAGCGCTCTGAGAGTTTTGTGGTTTTCCAGACAAAAGACCTCCCCGCCATCAACATAAGCTTCGGGCCTTTTGCCCAGGACCAGGCCCTGTCCAAGGAGTTGCTTCAGCCAGCTAGTCCTCTGGATATTCCCGGCCAACTGACAGTCAACTGGAAGGTTCGGGCCTTCATTGTCCAGCCGCGGGTCTTCTCCAACAACCCCACAGTCCAGGTGTTTTTCTATATCGCCGGTCGTGACTGGGACGACTTCAAGGCTCAGGACAAGCTACCCTGCGTCCGTTTGCATGCCTTCCGGGATGTCCGTGAAATTAAAACCTCCTGCCGCATGAAAGGTAACCTGGCGCAGTGCTTGGCCCAACTGGAGCTTCCTCCGTCGTGGTTTAACACCAATGTAGCCCCTCTGGGCCGAAGGAAAGGCTCGAGTGACGGGCTCTTGGATGGGTTAAGTGAGACCCTCCAGGCTGAGCTATACTACACGCTACACGAGCCTAACCTGGAAGGGGAGTGCAGTAAGGGTTCAGGTCACGGTGGTGGTTCTTCCAGGGGAGAACCTCTGTCACAGCACCCCCTGCTGCGCATCGGAAGCATCAGCCTGTACCAGGCCAGTGAAGAGCAGCTGCTGGTGGACAAGCAGCTAGACAAGAACATGTTCCTCAGGCTGCCGGAGAAGCCCCTGAAGCCTGGAGAGATTCTCAAAATCTTCCTGTACCTGATGCCCAACTCTACTATTGAGCAGTTCACCCTCAAGTAAGTGTCCTTTAAAATCTGTTCAGGTGCTCCGATGCTTTCAGACTCCTTGTTTCCATGCCGAATGTCACATTTATTGTGATGTTGACACATCTATATTCACAGCAGAGGCTCAATCAGCCTCCATGCAGTCATGCATATAAGATTTATTGATGAATAGTTTATTTTCTTGCTTCCCGGTATATCTCAGCCAATAATTTCCTCCCTGTCATAAATTGACGTATTATATGTCTCTTTATAATAACACTCGCACCGAATCATATGCAATTTGTCCAAGGTTTAGGTTTAGGGCAGCATGACTGTCTGTAAACAAAGCTACAGTGTGAATGCTGAGCACCAGTGGATAGGCTTAAAGGAAACGTAGGATTTACATGTCCAATAGAACACAATTACCACAGCGATGGATTCATTCATTACAGTCTTAATAACCAGCTTAATTCAAAGCAGCATTATTAGACGAATCTCGGAATCAATTGCATTCAATGACAGCATAAGATTACCGTGTACGCGGAAGTGCAACCAAAGTCATCTCATTCCAATCCTCACAATATTCTGTTTCAGGCTTCAAGCACAAGTTACATGACCATTTATGTTCATTTCAAGTCTAAAGAGACAAACGAGGATGTAAACACACATTTCATCCTTCTCATTAATTTCTTCTTCACTTAGCCAATTGATGTGCCAGCACTAATTAAAGTCAGGTAAGATAAAGGGAAGAAGAGAGGGTTAAGCAGCACTGTAAGATTCACCTTCAGAAATGGTGGCCTCCAGCCAAAGAGTTCTTCTTTTTTTATGAATAATTTGCAGTGAACTGCTGCTCCGAGCAGTTTGTGTTTAAAGGCCAGGTAATAGTTGTAGCTGTGGAACACATACAGATTTGGCTTCTGCTATGGCATTTAATGCTCACATACTGTACTCATTCTACACGTCCGGCTCACTGCTGGGAATAAAACACTGACTAATATATAAATGGATGTTTAACCACGTTTTTGTGTCAGCGTGTATGTTAATGCAAATAATATCGTTTTATTATTGCAAATGGATTCTTAATGCCTTCATTTTATTAACATGTAAGTGGTTGGAGGCAACATAAGGAAAAATATTTGGACGTGTAGATTTGTAACTTTTTGCTTCATTACAAGTGACCCCGTTCACATCTTCTGAGTGTCCTACATTGCCATTGAGACAATTACTGTTACAAAAATACACCACTCATATAACTCCGTGGTTAGTGATGAGCATGTGTGATGGGTGTAAATAGTTCATGACACAAGTGTCCCTCACTGCCTTCCTGTATTTGAGCTTTTCCACTTTCAACTCTCTTAAAGTTTCTAAATTTCACCATTTGCCTGCAGGAAAAGTGGAGAGAGAGTGTGAGGCTTAGCAGGACTCTGGTCTCTGTAGCTCTTAGTTCTGCTCAGTTATCAGCAGAGTACCCAGGATTAGAGGATATATTATTATATGCATTTGACAAAGTCGGATTTTTTTTGCACTTGTATGTACGAAGAACACCAGAAATGAACACAGGAACGTTAACGAAACGCTAAAGATTAGTGAAACCTATATTAAACACATTATGGTAGCTATCTGCTTTTAATGAGCTATGATTAATTAAGCCTCAGTAACGCAAGTACTTGTATAATTATGATTGTTCCCACAGTAAAATGTCTTTTTTGACTCAGTGTCAGTTGATGACATTTCTATAGTGAAAAGCAGTACTGTTATACTGGCAACAGTAATCCTTTAAAATCCTTTAAAATCCTTTAAAATCCTTTAAAAGGACAGGAACAGAAATTCCACCTGTATAAAATGTCTGATTAGGGTATGTTTATGATATCTACGATACGATACGATACGATAGAACTTTATTAATCCCTCGGGTGGGTTCCTCTGGGAAATTCGACTTCCAAAAAAGCACAGCAACGACCGAAGTTACAGTTACAGAATTGTTATATATATATATACACACACACACACACACATATATAAATACAGAGACAAATATAAATAAAATATACAAAGGGGATAAATAGAATAAATAGGAATAAAAAATAAAAATACAAGTGAATTGCACATTTCAAGTATTGAGTCTATTGCACTGTTGACTATTTACAAAAAGTATTGCACAAGGTATTGTACAGTGAGGTGAAGAGGCACTACAGCTTAGTTGTTCCCCCTCCTTTGTCCTCCTGTTTCTGTATTTTTACCTAAATAAATTCAGTTAACGATCTACTTAATATCATTTTAGTGACCTTTATTTGGGGAAACACGCAAAAAGCAATTATAAAATCATTTCACTACAGGGATAAAAGTTAGAATAGCTGTAGCTGTGGAGCACACATGCATAAATGGCAGTAGCAGTAGCAAAAATACCACGGCCCACACACATTGTCCAATTTCTTTCTACCAGCTGATGTGATTTTTGAAACCTGCAGGGAGACATCTGATGAACCCAGTGATGCTGGCATATTTTTATAAAATGAACAGAATAGTTTAATTCTCAAATTGTGATTTAAGGCTTTGGAGCTGATGTTGGTTTCTATATCTGAAGATATGCTAACAGCTCTTCTTGTAGCCAGACAAAAATGAGCTATTTACTCGAGTCCCACCTCCCCCCCAGGAATTCCAAGCATTTCTCTTCACACCATAAGAGCAACACTTACTCTCTTTAAGTTCCCCTCTCTTTAAAATGTATGATGCTAACTTCTACTGGATTACGAAACAGTTTCATTAACAGTTTCAGAGAACTGACTAACCGTGGGACACTTTCACTCAAGATGTGGTGTAACAAAGTTACAGTAAGACTTTGTAATATGAGCCGAAGCTTTGTCATATCCCCTTGTCTCTTAAAACATTTAGCTGAGCGTGTTAGCATCCATATACATCTGCAAGTCTTCGGCAGCCTGACTCTCTGAGCCTCGCAGGGATGGAAATGAGGAGTGATAAAACAGAAGAGTTAAGAAGGCGATGAGGCCTGGAGAAGAAAGCCCAGCGTGAGCCTCGTGAGCGACTTGCCTCAATAGGGTGTAAATTCAAGAGTTGTGGAAGTGAACTGTCGAGTCTTCCCAGCGCATCGAGGAAAATTATTAAAGATGCAATAAGGAGTGTCTTTAAAGATGAATCAGGAGGCCTCCTCTCCTGACTCTCCCTTAGCCACTCCATCGCTGCTTCCAATTATTCTCCTCTTCACTTGTCCAGCTTTGAAAGTCTTTGACTTGTTATTGCAAACGATGGCATGCCAGGCCAGAGAGACGGAGGAGAGACGGGCCACTTGTGGAATCTTCCCTTGTTTTCCCGCGGCCGCAGCGGTGCTGTCAGAAACGTGCAATGTGTGTGTCGGCGTGAATGTTTGTCATGCAGTAGGATAGGGAGTAGTGGTGTGTCAAATTTAGTTACCATGGCAATGCAATAATAGTATGTGTAGCCGTAATGTTGTCTAGCATGCCCCGGTGTGGGCTGACACTGCTTTTCTAGAGTTGTTTGCTTTTCATTTCAAGTGTCGTTTAAAAATCGTATCTTCTCTTTTCGCCCGTAAATTGATAGTGGCATCATTTCTGTTATACACGACAGCGTTTCACAGATAGTGACTTTTCCATCGCATTGTTTTGGAAAGGATCTTCATCATATACAGTACTAAAGTAATGTTTTTAGCAGGATCACTAGTAAAATATTACAAAGCCCAAATCCCTTTAAAAATACACGAGAAAAACAACCAACAGGAAACCGTACAAACCCGACTCATTGAACTGTAAATGTGCTGTGATGTTACGTTGTGTTTAGAGTTTGAACAGTGACAAGGTTTAGCTAGAAATGGAGCCGTGGTTGAGAGTCCTGTAGCGAGATGCCAGTACTTTACTGTAATTTAACAGTGACGTTTCCTACTGTGGATTTTTTTCGGTGGTAAACAGTTTCGAGCACAACAGTGGTTCACTTGAGTTTTTCCACTTGTCCAATGGTGGAATCGACTGCATATAATGTGAAAGGTGTCATTTGTAGTAACTGGCCCACAAAGAAGCTGCAGCTTACAGACATAACCCCTGTCCGCTCATTGTTTTGCATTTCTGGCTGACAAAACGGCTCTTTTTACACTTTGCACACACCACAGAGAGTGGCTCTTAGCATAAAAGCTTTGTCTCCACCACACAGTAGACAGATAAAGTTGGTGAATAGCCTTGAATACAGTGGACCATTTCGTAGTTAAAGAGCCAGTCTTTTTCTCGGCAGTGAACACGTTCAATTAAACCACAAAAGTTCCGTTAAAAATGACACAATGAGCAATTTCAATGAGCCAACTGCAGATTCCTCTGACAGATCATTGAAAACACTGGGAAAAGCTTGTGTGTTATCATGGGCTTTTGTCCCCGTATCCGTTAGGTTTGCCATCTGTGAACATTGGTAGGTATTATAATTTATTTCAACTATAGCTAATGAAATGATAATTATTTCCATTTTGCTTTGCCAAGAGCTGCAGCTGGTGGACAGCCAGAGATATTTTATTCATTTGTTTATTCATATGGACACTTAGTTGCAGGATGCAAAGAGATTCGCATATGTTGCGTAACCTGAATTAAAATTCTATACGACAGCGGCGAGGTCACTGCATGCATATAAATGCAGTCAATGTGGAGATGCCAATTTTTATTTTGGTGACTCACTGACATTTCTTGCCCAATAAACAAATACGCATTGCAGTGCACACAATCCTCATCTATGTGCACAGTACAAGGCTCTTGGAAACCTTGCAGTACTCCGGAGCCCTGGGTATAACATACAGTATTCAAATGCCCTGGCTCCAAATAAAGGCTCGAGGAGAGAAAGCACAGTGGAATCCAGGGAGAGTGACCCACATTCAGAAGCAGTGGCTTCATCCCCAGCAGCTAGATGGCTACTTGCGCCTTGTAAGGAACACAGAAAACTTCCTGACCTCAGCCTCTGCTTCCTGCCAGCTCTGCGGTCGTGCTCCGCTTCTTGTCCCACGTGTCGTTGTCGCTGTCAGTGTC